ATGCTATATTTATTTATCAGTTGTCATTCTCCCAACTCACTCTGGTCATTGGTGGTGCCTGATTACTATACATCTGGAATTGTACTACTTTTTGCATAGAATTACAAGATCATTTGGATATATGATTTGAAAAAGTGGCCCGGGTGGGTGGTTTATTTCCGTTCTGCAAGTCATTTTATTAGTATCGCAGGTTCCCGTTTCATTTATTAGGGTTATGGTGCTGATCTTATTGTTCAGCGTCTGAAAGAAAGCCAATTTTTCGAAAGAAAATTGTTTTGTTCTTCCATTATAAAACCCCCGCTTCTTGTTCTCCTAGGCAAAGGCCCTAGATGGTTTCAATTTCTGACCTCCGCTACGCAGACCTTCAAGCCTGTTGTGTTTGCATAGGCTTTAAGGACGAGGATGAGTACAAAGTTGATGCCGACGCAGAGGGTAAGCTGCTTTGAAATTGTAACTTCACCTACAGCCTCCCTTCGATCTATTTTGCGCTATTTGAGGGCTGAAAGCAGTAGTTGTGACATTCGCCGGGAACTAGGCCGTTTGGAGATCATTACCAGTGACCTCTTGCCGCTTCTAAAAACACCAAACATCACAAATTCCCTGTTTGATTTGACGATTCGGTTGCTGGTCAACCTCACCCAGCCTGCCATTGTGTGCTTTAGACATGAGCTTCCCAAAGATCGGGATCTATACACCTCCTACCTGCAGGTGGATAGCCTGCTTAAGGATTGCAAAAAGGTACTGTCCGTTTTTATTGTTGCATTCCCCCCCCCAGGCATTTGCTGATGAACAGGCCTTCCGTGTCCTGGCCTCACGAGTGGAGAATTTGTTTAACAGGGTTAGTTATTCTTGTTATAACTTTCTAACGACGCCCCCTACGCAGTGATCCTAGATTATTCGGTTTCTTTTACGTCGCATGTTCGGTTTCCGTGCTTTGCACTTGGAGATAGGTTTTTTTTGAAAATGTGTCTCACCGTTTAAATTGTACTTACCTCACGTACTCTAGCAGAATTTTGGGAGCACTCATGGGATCTGTTGTACGTCTTGAACTGAAGTGATCTCTGGAGAGTAGTTGGCGAGCATACGTAGGCTTTCGATAAATTCCCATCAGGCCAACGCATTTATATGGGAACGGGGCACAAGTTAAAAAAGCAGTCAATAATGTTCGTCTTTTCTTAAAAAAGG